CCCAAAACCCCAAAACCCCAAAACCCCAAAACCCCTTACAGACTGGCCAAAATGAAAAATTTATAAATTCAAATATGGGTTGAGGTTGATTTTCTAAAAGCTCAGGCTACGATAATCGCAAGAAAAGAAGCGTTGAGAATAGAGAACCTGTACTAATAACAACTAATAGAGATTCTGCTCCTCCTGAGCCAGTCCAAGATATCTCTACGAATAGTGGGAAGGAAGAACATAAGAAAGATAAAGTTCAGACAAAAGAGAGAACTAAGAAAAAGAAGAAACCCAAACCTAAGTAAGGCTAAGCCCAAGAGAGAGTTTTATGATTTAAGAATATTATCAACATCAGATAAGAAGGCCAATCCTTTATGGATAGGAAATCAGAAGCAAAATCTGGATTTCCCTATATATAAGTTCTTGGTGGAGAAGACTATTCACGAAATAGACTCTTCTAAACTGTCTACTCGTGAAGAATGGCAAGAAATTAAAATAAGTTCTGAATCAGAACACGAACTGGCTGAAAGACTGCTTAAAGGGAATAAATAACAAGAGAGAGTGGATTCATGAGTATGTGTCTCTGTGTGACAGCAAACAAGAACCCAACTCTTTCTCTGCCCTGACCAATCTCAGAAATATGGTTCAACTCTATGAGCAGTTTAACTGGTATGTCTGGGCCGTCGGGTACTTCTACTTCAAGAATGAGTTTAGTGAAGATAAGTTCGGGTTGCCATCTCCAGCCAACGATGCATGGGTAGAAGGCTTTACATGGAAAGGAGTTTACTTTAGGCTGATCCCATTGGAGCACTCATATTTGGTCAAAAGAGAGATCGAAGCAATTAAGCACATCACCCTTGAGTTAGAAGAATGCTCTGCTTTAGAAAAATAATTACGCTCAAAGATTCAAAGTTGATATAGATGAATCATATCATAAACGCATACTCCCACCTTTACTATCAATAACCGAATGTGGTAGCTTTGCAATTTATGGGTGTCCTGTAATTCCAATAGCTCGTCGGTCAAAATCAGCCCCTTCAATATCGATTAAAAATCTACAGAAGGAAGAGAATGTAGATTTCTCTGACTCAATGTTGCAATTAATGCCTTACCTTAGCAAGCTCACACCAGAAAATTTAGTGCCTTTGAACTTGGAAGATTTTGAGGACAAGTACATAATAATTAACTGACACAAAGTTCTTCAGCCATACCAACCTGAAGTATTTTCTAAATGAATTATCCGAATTCCGGAAGAAGAGACAGAAGAGATTTCTATTTATCAATACCCTCTCAACAACTTGATTCCTCTCGAAGAACTGATTTCTCTGTTTGATGGAAAAATTGAGGAAAATGAAGAACGATCCTACAGTGAAAAGGGTATGCAATCTCTTAACTTTTAGAACTGAAATCTATCGCCAAGGAACGGAAACACATCAGAGAATGTAACTTCACTTCCCATGGTTGCTATATGAAAATTCTTCTGTACGACAGGAATCATGGAGATGATGACTCCATGCAGGAGAATGATAGAGCTAAAGCAGTCTTTATGTCTCGTGATGATCGTGTTTTCCGCATGGCTGGCATAAAGAACAAGCCATCCACCATTCCATTCTTTACTAATGACCTTCTGAGTCATAATATTATGGGTGAATCAGAGATAATAACTGGTGACGTTCTCCTAGTCGTTGAACAATGAGTTAATAATTTCAGAATTCCATATGCATTAGCTTATAACAAGCCGAGTCGAAGGGCAGAGCTCTGCATTGAGAAATCAATTGACAGGGCTCGAGAAGTGCTTGAGGTAAATAACGACATTACTTCTGACACAGCTTTGCTAGAATTTTTAGCAAGAAAAGGAATTCCGGAAAGCTCAGTCTGGATTCTTTCAGTCATTGTTAAAACAAAGCTGATCAGTCAAATCTGCAAATGCATCATCCTCGCAAACACTGTTAAAAGAATCGTTGACAAAGAAGTCTTTGTAATGTCTAACTTTGAAGGGAAAGATAAAATTCCAAAGGGGATCACCAAAGAGGGTGACCTCACTTCGCCTCTCTTCACTGAAAGGATGACATATGTGATAGAAAACATTATTAAGAACAACCTTGATGATGAGTCTAAGCTGGCCAAGAACCTGATAATGACTCTGTTCTTCTACAGACTAGAGTCTTTACCTTTTCATAATAACCTACAGTTCGATATGAGGACAAAGGATTATCTCCAAGGAAGGAATATTTTGAAGGATGTCCTACAAGTCTCAGTGCAGAACCCGTTGCTGTTTCTTAAGACAGTTGAAAATACCTGAAATATGAAGTTCTCCAAAGAGCTAATTAGGAAATGAGGGGTTGATAAGTTCTCTATCATTCACTCTGATGAGCCTCTCAATGTGGACTATCACAACCCAAATGTAGATGCAGATATGAAAAATTATGCACCCGTCTCTGTAAGAGAAAGGATGTATTTTGTCATGGCCTCATTCATTTCTACTAGGGAATCAATTATGCTTGATGAAGCTAGTGCGGAAGGCTCCAAGAGTGAAGAATCAGCCTCTGTTAAAAACTCCTACCTTGACGATGACGAAGAAGAGTCAGACGAAGAAGAAAATGAAGAAAGTAGTGAGAGAAATAGCTCAGATGAGGAAGAAGATGAAGATGCCAGTGATGAGTCTTACGACTCAGTTGCTTCTTTGAATAGAAAGGAAAACTCTCCTCCTTTTAAGCAAGCTAAATTTGAAAAACATGAGAATAAAATTAATAGTGTTTACTCGAGTAGAATGAGCATGATTAGTAGTCATGACAATGTGCTGAGAGCTTCTGCACCAATGATGAATTTGAACAAGAATTACATTGAAATTGATAATGATTACAAGAAGTGTCAATACTTGACTAAAGTCTTCCTCCAACTTCCACCCTGCTTATACAGACTAAAGCTATACAACATAGAAGTTGATTCAAAGGATATATCTAGCATTTCTAATGCAACTCAAATAGGAAACCACGCTGACTTCTTACAGGAATGTTCAGTTTTGAAGCAAAATTATTCTCTGCAAACACTTGATGACCTAAATCGGTTGGTGATGTTCTTAGAGAACTCATTCAAAGATGTTCAATCAATAGAGGGAGATGAATCTGCGTTCCTCGAAATCTTATTAATCAACAACATTGTTTTATTCGTTTGCAATAAATTTGAAGACATTTACAAAAACTTGGAAAAATCAAGAGAGATTCTGTTCAATCTATCAAAATGCCCACTAGAGATCATCTCCATGATGCAAACATTTACAGGTGTGCTCTTTGAGAAGGAAAACTTAGCAGAATCTGAGAAGGAATATCTCATGGCTCTTATTCATTATTTCCCAATTGTATGTGATCCCAGAGGAAGAGGTGCTTATTCCTCAAACTATCTTCTAGCATTAACTTGGAAGGCATCCATGGTAGCTCATTACTATAAGAAAGAGATAGATGCAGAATTGTGTGAGGAATTACTAGATGCAACTATTCATAATATTAACCAAGCTAAAACTTTGGAGCATATTAGCTCTTCTAGCTCTAATGAAGACAAGAAGTGGGACAAGGTATTTGGCCAACCGCCTACTAAGAACAAGTTTGCAAAGCCAGTTGGCACCTCAACCATGAAGCCAACTCAAAGGGATTCTAATACTAAGATTAAGATAGATGACATCGATGTTGAACTTTTGTCAAATTTGAACGTTGACACTGGGGATCCATTTGATGACTTCAAATATACTTTAACCGAAAATAGATTCTTGTTCTATCACTGGGCACTTTATAAAGACAAGGTAGAAGATATAGAAGATTACATGAAATATGGAGCAGGAAATCAACTTGATTTCTTTATTCACCTGATTCGTTCTAATCCATGAATGTACATGAGTGGGAAGAAATTTACTAAAGCTCAGATCAGAGACTTTACTTATGGAGATGGTGAAGGTGCATTGAATTTAAAAAGCACTTCTTCTATCATATCAGGGAAGGATCATATGTCAAGTTCTTTATCGCAAGCCTCATTCACATCAAGCATGAGTACCTCAGTGAAGGAGAAAAGACAGAGATCTCTACATCACGGTGTCTACCAGCACATCCTCAACAAAGAGCATTATGCTCTCTCCAGATCTGAATGAGTTGGAGTTGCCTTTGTTTGGGGGACTGATACCCAAGGTCAACTTGGCTGTGCCAATATAGCCAACATGAAATTTGACGAAATGGATGATAACTTTAGAAGGTACTACCCTAGAATTCTAATCGGCTTGAAAGACCTAGTCATCAAGGAGGTTTGCTGAGGGAACGAGCACTCTTTGGCTGTAACTTTGGAAGGAAATTTATATTCCTGGGGTAACAATTCAAATCACCAGCTTGGAATTGGCTATAATTCTTCTAAAATAGTGAACCACCCTACAAGGGTGTATAACATAGAAAATGTAGTCCAAATATCTTGTGGATATGAACACTCGATGGCCTTGAATGATGAAGGAGAACTATACTCCTGGGGACATGGCGAAGGGGGACTTCTTGGACATGGAGAATTAGATGATGAAGCAACTCCTAAAAGAGTCGAAGAATTTGTTAAAAAGGACCTCAGTGTGACAAAGGTTGCATGTGGAGGACTCCACACCCTTGCCATCGCAGGTGAAGGCAAAGTATACACATGGGGTAGAGCAGAAGGAGGACAATTAGGACACTCTAAACAGCACCTTGAAAGCTTAGAAAGACTAGATTTAGGAATTTCTGTCCCTATCTGAATTATTAATGATAAAGTTATCGAAGATATTGCAGCTGGTGCTGCTCATTCCTTGGCCCTCACAGAGAATGGAGAAGTTTATAGTTGGGGTCACAACGATTATGGCCAATGCGGTCTTGGATTTTCAGGTGAAAACTTTGAGCCAGGCACTGGAGGTGCACAAAGTTCTGTATTTGAGCCCAGCCAAATGAAATCAATAAAAGACATAAAGATGGAAAGTATTTATGCTGGATCAACTTTCTCGATGCTTCTCTCAGAAGATCAGGAGCTGTATGCTTGAGGAATTAATGACCTCGGTCAATGCGGAATCGATACAGAGCATGAGGAACTCCAAAAATTTGAAAAGATTAAAAACAAAGCTGCTAATAACTTTGAAGTTCAGACAGATATAAGCGCCCCAAGAAAACTCGAATGATTCCATGCAATGGAAGTTAAGGGTGTTGCCTGTGGAGAGGACCATTCATTTGCTCTTATAAACTCAGGAGAGAAGGATAAGAAAATGCTATGGGGTTGGGGAATGTATAAAGCTGGCCAGCTTGGTCTTGGAAGAATCAAAAAGAAAACAAATCCAAGGCTTCTCCAAACTCTCTATAATTCAACTATACTCAAAGATAAAATCTCATGTGGAAGTTCTAATACTTTATGAATAGTGGGAGACCCAGAGAAGTTCAAAGAAGAATATGATGACAATGCAACTGAAATGCTCAATAAAAGTTTCCAGATTGATTTTGAAAATGAATGATGGGATATTGTTGAGCACCAAGATGAAGAGAACTTCCAGCTCAGAATGGCTGAGTATAATTAGCTAATAATATTTTCCTTCAATTAAAACAGCAAAGTATGGGGTTTTGGGGTTTTGGGGTTTTGGGGTTTTGGGGTTTTGGG